TTTCTATTTTCTACTTTGTGTAGGGCCCAAATCTCGGAATTATTTTTGATCCCTTTCTTTCTCACATTCCACATATAAACCATCAGGAAATCCTGGTATCTTCAAATCCTCTACCTTCAAAATACACAATCAGATTACCTGAACTGGATGCTAATTATGAACATGATTCCTGATAGTCACCTTGCTGTCCCTCCTGGCACTCCCTTCCCTGAAAGCTCAACAGTCAGAGGGATCCTTTTAAAACATAAGTCGGCCGGGCGTGGTGGACTCAAGCCTGTAATCCCAGCATTTTGGGAGGCCGAGGCGGGTGGATCACGAGGTCAAGAGATCGAGACCACCCCAGTCAACATGGTGAAACCCCGTCTTTACTAAAAATACAAAAAAATTAGCTGGGCATGGTGGCGCGCGCCTGTAGTCCCAGCTACGCAGGAGGCTGAGACAGGAGAATTGCCTGAACCCAGGAGGCGGAGGTTGCGGTGAGCCGAGATCGCGCCATTGCACTCCAGCCTGGGTAACAAGAGCGAAACTCCGTCTCAAAAAAAAAAAAAAAAAAAAAAAAACAAACATAAGTCACAGCTTGTCCTCGCTATATTCAAAATTCTCCGTTGGCTCCCAGCTCATACAAAGTAAAAGCCAAAGTTCTTATCACAGTTGGCAGAAGTCCTTACAAATGGCCACAAGGCCCTTTGTCATTGTGCCCCTGCACCTGCTTACCTCTGTGACCCAGAACCTTCCCTCTAGCTGCTCTGCTATGTGTTTCTGTTCCTGCCTCAGGGCTTTTGTACTTGCTGTCACCTCTGCCTGGAATCCACAGGGCTCCCTCAGCAAACTTAGGACTCTCAGACATCATGTTCTTAGTGGCCACTCTCTTCTTCCTTGAACATACTGTTTAAAATGACTGCCAGGATGGGCGCGGTGGCTGACGCTTGTAATCCCAGCACTTTGGGAAGCCGAGGTGGGGGGATCACCTGAGGTCAGGAGTTCCAGACCAGCCTGGCCAATAGAGCGAAACCCTGTCTCTACTAAAACTACAGAAATTAGCTGGGTGTGGTGGCATGGGCCTGTAGTCTCAGCTACTTGGGAGGCTGAGGCAGGAGAATTGCTTGAATTGCTTGAACCCAGGAGGCAGAGGTTGCGGTGAGCTGACATTGCACCACTGCACTCCAGCCTGGGCAACAGAGTGAGACTCTGTCTGAAAAAAATTAAAAATAAATAATAAAAATAAATGGCTAGCCCACCCCCAGTATCTCCTTTGCCTGCTATAATTTGCGTAGATTTTTAAGAATCATCTGACACACGCACATACACATACATATATTCACACGTTTATTTGCTATCTCCCTGACTAGAATGTAAGCTTCATGAAGGTAATGATTTTTATCTCTTTTGTCTACTGACATATCTGCAGGGTCTAGAACAATAGTGCCCGACATGCAGCAGGTGCCAGTCTTTCTTGAATAAATGAAGGGGAAATATCATTTTGGATTTTATGTTTCCACAAGCAAAGTTATACACAGACGATCTTGTAATAGTAGCTCAGGAAATCAGGACATGTTTTCTGTATACTGGAGTTTTTTGGCCTTTTAAAAAAATTCGCTTTATCCATTTCTTACCTTCAAACTTCATGATTAATTAGGGAAAATTTAATATATCGGTTCATTAATGATGTCAAGACAATATGGCACAGGAAAGAACTCTTTCTTTGGGGAATATAACAGTGTGTATCTGGTGAAAAAAGGTGGGGGAAAGAAACATGTTGTTTTTGTGTTGTGTGATCTGTTGGCATAAACGTACGTATGCAGATCGTGTGAAGTCTGCTTTGGTGTCTCCTGCCTTTGAGGTTGTCCCCCTCGTATTTGCTTTGTGGTCTCTCCCTTAGAAAGTGTTTTCTCTATAGGCACGCACCCAGGAAAAAGCAATATTCATCCAGGCACGTGCAAAGTCCTGCACACTCTAAAGATTCATTTGTAAAATGGTCATGTTATAAATCTCGGCAGACAATCCAGTATTTGTCCAGCCAGAGTGACCTCTGCACTCAGGAGACGAGGAAGAGGGAGGGAGTGGGGAGGAGGGACCGAATGGGCGCTTGGTTCCGCTGGTTGCAATTTCTCATAAACATTCAGCCTGTGTGATGTTACTGGGATGTGTCTGAAGTGTTAAGACGTGGCTATGTCATAGCTCATTTTCCAGAGCAGCTTTGGATGGCATGTTTGAATTAATTCCTAAGTCAAAGGGGGCACACTGACCCTGGTTTTTCTTGGGCAGAAGTTAGCTTCCACCTCTTCCTGACCCTCACTCTTCCATGCTCACTGGGCTCCTCCTCCATGATCCCCAACCCACTTTTTAGAACACAAAGCCAGTTTTAGTTCCGTCTTCCTGGTGCTCTCTATGGCCCTCCCATTCGTGTAAGATCATCACATTTTAGCCCCTTCTTTTCTTTTCTTTTCTTTTTTTTTTTTTTTTTGAGACGGAGTTTCGCTCTGTTACCCAGGCTGGAAGTGCAATGGCGCGATCTCGGCTCACCGCAACCTCCGCCTCCTGGGTTCAGGCAATTCTCCTGCCTCAGCCTCCTGAGTAGCTGGGATTACAGGCACGCGCCACCATGCCCAGCTAATTTTTGTATTTTTAGTAGAGACGGGGTTTCACCATGTTGACCAGGATGGTCTCGATCTCTTGACCTCGTGATCCACCCGCCTCGGCCTCCCAAAGTGCTGAGATGACAGGCTTGAGCCACCGCGCCCGGCCAAGCCCCTTCTTTTCTTAAGGAGGACAAAGACTCTCCCCAGTTAAGCCTTTCCCTTCTCCTCAGGTCTCCCCTTCCCGACTCAGCCTTGGTTTACCACTTAGATTTGCCATATGGGATAGAAATGAGCAACAACATTTGACTAATTATTGGTACTTTTTTTTTTTTAACCAAACATCAAGTTGGTGACGAAGTTATTTGGAAATATCAACCAAGCCCCAAAGACGACACAAGACTACAGGAGAAGGCGCTCTGGGAGGAGATGATCCTAACACACAACACCCATTGTATATCCAGTTCTAAGTGTTTAACATATATTAACCCTGTTACTTCTCAAACAACCTCCTAAAGTAGGTACTACCATTATCATCCCAGTTTCCCATAGCAGGACACTGAGGACCAGAGAGGTAAATGGTGGAGCTGGAGATTCTAATCAAGGAATTCTAGCTTCAAAGATAATTCAAAGACTTGCCCCCAACTGTGGACCAAGAGCTCAGATTCCCTGACTGTCTGCATTGTATTCTTTCTTATCTACCTGAATTCAGCAGCTAACACTGCATTTTCTCTGCTGTTGGGGGACTATCCCATAACTGTTTAGCATGGAAAAGTTGAATACAGGTTCAGGCGGGTTTTCAGTGCTGATTTTATTTCCTATCCATGGATGTTAAACTGAAATTTGCCTTTCCCCAGGCTAACCCTAGACAGTGACAGCCGGCTGTGATAAAAATGGAACCATCTGTCTATGAGCCGGGGCTCAGGGTATGAAGAGACACCCTGGAGATCAGGTGCTGGGAGGAAGATATGGGGGTTGAAGCTTGCCAATGAATCTTCAGAATATGATTCCCCTTGGCCCTTGCACAGCCAGTAGAGCGTGGTCCTTGTTTGATTTGGAAAGGTGGAGCTAACCATCCTTGGGGCTCTCAGTTGCCAGGGTCAATTGTCGGCATATCTTGGTTCAAATAGGATTTGGCTAGAAAAAGTCTCTAGAGATTGGCTCCAACCCCACCGACCCTCCCTGTCTTCCATCTACACCTCTGCCCAGATGACTTGTTAGGTAAATATGACCTTCTGGCTTGTCAGGGTTGTTACAATGCAAGATCTAAAATCTACCAAAAGCAGATGCTTGCTGTTCCAGAAACAACACGAATCCAGATACAGGGCTTCATCTGGGGCTGGAGCTTGAGGCCTGTGTTCCTTTCCTCTTCCTAGAGCTCACGGGAACCATCCAACAGGACATCGCAACTCACGAAAGGGGATCCTGGCCTCTTTCCACATGCAGTGCTTGCTCTTGTCCTCAGCCTCCTCAACCCCGTCATGAACTTCTCTCTTGACTGTTTCAGTCCAAATTACATTGTTAGGGGGAGCCAGAAATCAGGTAAAGTCAGTATTTCCAAATCCATCCACTCCTGCTCTGGGAACATAGTAGGTACTCAGTCAGTTCGCCCAGCTCACGGAGGATTGAATCTCCTACTACAATGGAATTTTGAAAAAATCCATCCCTCACAGTCTGGTTAGCACCATCTTTGCTTTCAACTTTCACTGGGACATGCTGTGCCTAAAAGCGAAAACCCACAGGCCATTAGGCCTTACGCTGTTTGGCAGAAGAGGACACAGCCAAGAAGACAGATCCATCTTCCTTTCCCCTGGAGTCAGCACTGAATTACCTGCGGCAAAGTCCCTGCTGGCGGAGCCTCTGGGCCTTTGGCTTTTTACTGTTTGGACTATTTGTATTCCTTAGTATCCCTACCAGAGACAGAATCTTGGGCAAGAGGTGACATCCACAAGAGCCCATTCTCTTAGTGACTGACAGCCCTAGGGAAGGAAAAGGAAGGCAGGAAGAAAGTCTGGAGTTTATGCTTTAAATGAGGCTAAAACATTTACCCACTGGGTTGTCATTCATCCTACTTTTTGTCTATCACACAGGTCACCCATCAAGAATCGACTCTACGACTTTACCCCTGTGAGTTGCAGGGAAGAAAAGGGTCCTAGCTTCTGCCCCGGCCAGATTCCTTCCGAGTGACTTGGGGAGTTTCACTGGGGGAATCAACTCTCCTTTACCTCAGTTAGCAGGAAAGCCTACACAAAGACACTGGGAACATGACAGCAAGAGGCCACCTGCCTCTCTACACCCCTCGATGACACACTTAGTGATCCCAGCGGACTACACAGAACATTCCAAAGGGACCAGGGGCCACGGGTTCGTGGCGGAACCATGGCAGGAAAATGATCGAAGACAGAAATATGAGACTCTGGGCAATGATAAAATAAATCATTTTAATGGAAGGCTTTCTGAGACTGCAACTTTTTCTTTTACTATGAAATAGTCAGTTTCCCTGCCCTGGGGTTTCTTAGGGAGTGGTGCACGGCTGGACTCCCACCCCACAGAAAGCTAGCATGTTACTCTGACACGCTACGTTGAGCCCCTCCGGGGATCCAGAGGTGTGTCTTACTGTCAGGAGACTGAAGTTAGCTGGTGGTCAGTCCACGGTATTTCATCCCTGTGAGTGTCCAGGCCTGAGGGAGGGGACAAGGGGCTTCGCTTCCCGCTCAGGGCGTTTCTCCATGAGGGAAGAGAGGGGACAGATCACTTTTGAAATTCTGACTCTGACCTTTACAAAGAAAATTAATAGACACTTTAGTATTATATACAGGGCAGAGGGGAGAGGACACAGAAGGGAAATTGCACTTAATTACAGTAGTTTATAGTTTACAGCCATTGGACAAATTTACTTCTTTAAAAGAAATCTCAAGATCATTTGGGATGGGGCGGGGGAAGGAGTCTGCGGATATTTACAGTGTGTTTGGCTCAGTTCAATAGCACGCGTCCTCCTCTCCTCGTTTCAGTAACAGATTCAAGTTTTTGCATCAGTTTGTTCGATGAAGGATCACAACGTAGAAACAACAGCTTTCTTGCTTCCTCTTCGGGGGCGGTTCCTTGTCTCCCACCTCCAGGACAGACAGGAGTCCCTGACATCGTGGGAGAGGCATCGTGGCAATACTGCACAGAAGGGAAGCTGGGCTCTGGGCTGCGCCTCCTGAGAGTGGATTGTCTGAGGTGCCAGCAGGACGCCCATCAGGTAAGCAGGGACCTCTCGCAGGTGCTTGTCAGGTCACCGGGCTTCTCCATGGCGGCTGCCCAGAGGGTGATGGTGGGGAAAACGGGCTCCTTGCTGCTGTGCACAGAGTGAGTGATGTGTGGGCATCACCAGGCTTGCAGAGGACACTGCAGAGAGAGAGGAGGGAGAATGCTCAGCTGTGTCATTTGGCGGGGACATGGGCCATTAGTTTGGCTTCTCCAAGGGAGCTGACGCCCAACTCAACCAGCAAAGAGCAGCAGGTGGAGGGCTGGGGGCCTCCTGTACGCTCAGTTCTGCAGTTTTCATCCTGAGGCAGACTTCCTGCAGGAAAACCTGGGAGCCGGCCTTCCCGGCCACTTCAGAAGACAGAAGTGAATCACTGGGGACCTTTAACTTGTCCTAACTTGCTGACCTGACTCCTGAAGTTGGGCTCCTCTTTCTGTGACAGTGGAATTTATGGAGTGCTCAGTGTGCTTGAAAAAGCAGCTGGATGAGAAGCTCTTGCCTCTTGGGGAAGCAAGGGTCTCTTCCTAAGACCTCTAAGAGCAGAGGTCTCCTGAATGAACGTTTCTCAAACTTTAATGGACTCACAAGTACCAGAGAGCCTGTTAAAATGTGGATGCTGGTGCAATTCTGATTTATAGGCCTGGGGTGGGCCTAAGAGTCTGCGTTTCTAATAAGTGCCCAGGGTATGCCAAGGAGGCTCACTAGGGCGGCCAGGCCAGAAAGCACACGAGAAAACGACCACTCACACCACTCATCGGCAATGGTGTTTTGCAGATGGCAAAGTGCTTTGTACGGGTTTCTTACTTTGGGCTAAGAAACTCATAGGACCAGGGAAAGGATCCAAAGGCTGAAGCGCCTCTGAGGCCATCGTTGAGGATGAGCCAGGGCGGGAGACCCCAGAATGGCCGGAGAAGGCCTCAGGAGGAGCCACCTCACCCGACTCAGGGCGGCCTCGCCCAGTGCCTGGGCCTTATTCATTTGAATCGTCCTGGAGCGTCATTGCTCCCCGTTTGACTTCCGGAGAGTCTCTTTTTGGCCTCCCTCGGCCTCCTCTTTCCTTTTTGCTTTTGTTGGTATCTAAGGTTCTGCCTTTGACTTAGTGGCTTATTCTCTCCAGATCTGCCCCCCCGCCCTCCAAACACACACACAAACACACACACCCCAACACCTACCAATACTGCTAAAGGCCACTGTTACCTCATTGATCAGTGCTCCGACCATAGCCCTTTAGGAGGAGACCATTATGTGTATTTGACAGATTAGGGAAACAGGGCTCCAAGTGAGTCAGCCAATCGTCCAAGGTTTGAGAACTAGGAGAGTGTGGAGCCACAGCTTCAAACCAGCTGTGTTGGTGGCCACTCCGAGTGTGCTCTTTCTATCATGATAGTAGCTGAGGAGCCTTCTACTGAGCTTTGTTCTCTTGGACAAGTTACTGTCTCTGTGCCTCAGTTTCTTTCCCTACAGAATGGGAGTTGCTGTGGGATTGGATGAGTTGACACCTGTGGAGTCCTGAGAGTGGTCCTTGGCACAACTGTTATGAACACGGGGTTCTTCGGCCCATGCTGCTCCTCGGTGCTCTTAAGAGTGGGGCTGCAGGCTGGGCGCGGTGATTCGTGGCTGTAATCCCAGCACTTTGGGAGGCCGGAGCTGGCGGATCACGAGGTCAGGAGTTCGGGACCAGCCTGGCCAATGCAGTAAAACCCCGTCTCTACTAAAACTACAAAAATTAGCTGGGCATGGTGACGCATGCCTATAATCCCAGCTACTTGGGAGGCTGAGGCAGGAGAATCCCTTGAACCCTGTTGTGAACCGAGATCGTGCCATTGCATTTCCAGCCTGGGCAACAGAGCGAGACTCTGTCCCGAAACAAAACAAAACAAAAAGAGTGGGGCTGAGCAGCGCGTGCATGTGAGGAGACAGGCGTCTGACCCTTCTACGTTCTTGAGACACTGGTCAGGATCCTCCGATACCCTTTGCCTCCTCTTCCTCCCCTGACCCTCCCCACTCTCGAGTCTCTTTACTTCTCACTATCAGCCTTTTCCCAATTTTCCGATTTCAGGTGGAGGAGAGAGAAAATGGCTTGTGACCTTGCAGGTTTCAATAGAAGAGCAAATAAGAAAGGCAGATAAGGAGACGCCAGTGAGATTCTATGACCTGTCATTAGGGATGGGCTTCCCAGCTATCAAATGTTTGCTCACATAATAAAATGGTGGCAGAGCCCAAAATGTTGTCAAAGGACTTGGAGTTCTTTGCCCCCTTCAGAGTCTAAACACAAACATCTGATAAGGGTGCACTGTGGTCCCTCAGAACTGGAGGCCCAGCACACGCAGCCCCAGGGGGGCCTTGCCCAGAAGATCTCTGAACGATCGCAGGGCCCTCCTTCTGAAAGGCGTGGTAGCTGTGCCAAACGTGCAAGGCATTCTCATTCTAAGATACGTAACAGTAAGAGTGAACATTCTCGAGGTCCTCCTGTGAGCCAGGCACCGTGCTAAGAGCATCACTGCCTCGAATTCTTACATCGACCCTTTGAAGTAGGTGATTATCATGACTTCATTCAACACATGTTTGAGTGCCTACTGCGTACTTAGTACTTTTTTAGACACCGGAGACGCATCGGTAAACAAGACACTGTCCACTTCGTTACAGACTTTACCTCCTAGTGAAGGCTTCGAATAATAAACAAGTAAACAAATGTGCGCGCGTACGCACACACACACGCACATGCACACACACGCACACACACACACACACACACACATGCACACAGGCACATGCACACACGCACACACAACTTTAGGTGGAGATGAGTCCTCCACAGAAACCTAAGCACAGAGGTTAGGGTAGCTTGGGGAAAAAGAGATTAACTTAGATGAGGGCATCCGGGGAGGCTTGTGAAGGGGGAATACCTGAGCTGAAGGAAATGAAGGAGCAAGCATGTAACAATGCACGGAAAAAGAGCTCCAGGCAGACACCACAAACGCAGGAGTGCTGGAGTGGGATGCTTCAGCTCTGGCACAGCTAACGCTGCGTGGGCAATGGAGGGAGGAAGACGGTGAGATGTGCGACACTGGAGGTAGCATCATTACATGGGGCCCTGCACGTCTGTCTCTGTTTTAGTTTGATTGTAATGGAAAGCTGCTGGAGAGTTTTGACAGGGGATCGACACGCTTGATTTCTCTTTGTAAGAGATCACTCTGGCGGACAGACCGTAGCTGGGCAAGGGTGGAAGTGGGAGATGGGCAAGGGCCGCTGAGATGAAGGAGACTGGGCTGGGACTAGGCCAGTCCTGATGGGGGTGTGAGGAGAGGTCAGATTTGGGATGTATTCTGGGCCCCCCAGGAGAACGTACTGATGGACTGGATGTGATGTGGAGAGAAGAATCAAGGATACGCTCAGCTATCTCACTGGAACGGCTGGTACCAGTCTTGGAAATGGGGAAGCCCACGGAGGAAGCGGTTTTGGTAGGATGAAATCAGGGCACAGTGAAGACTTCCTATTTTAGGCCTGTTGAATTCGAGAGGCTTATTAGATCTTTTAGACATGCATGTCCCTGCCGAAGAAGGATGGTTTTGGGAATGGGCACTCAGTAGGGAAGACTGGACGGTAGACAGAGTTCTAGGAGCCGTCGGTGTGTACACTTGTCCGAAAGCCACGGGACCGGAGGAGATCACCCAGGAGTGAGCATAGACAAGAAGAGGCCAAAGAGCGAGGCCCGGGCCCTCCAACACGTAAATGCTGGGAGGGTGAGTTGCCAGCTGAGGAGATGAGCAGTGGCCAGTGCCACAGGAGAAGAACCAGGAACGGTAGTATATTAAACTCCCGCGGAAAAAAAGGAGGGAGCGATCGGCTGTGTCAAAGACAGAGATTGAAAAGGCACCACTGGAATCAGCAGCCTGGTGACTTAGTGAGCTGGACATGGTGGGGTGTGAGGACAGGTGGGTCACTTCTATGATTGTGAACTTAGGCGACATTCACTGTGACTCCATTACTTAAAAGTCCTGATTCTAATTCTGGTTTTACAGATGAGGGAAATGTGGTCTAGAGAGGTTATAGGTAAGCAGAGTTTGTGCTCCTCACCTCTATGTAGATCACTTCTTTCAACCCCCTCAACAGGGAGAAATAAATGCCCTTTGCCACTGAAAACCCTTTTCCCAAACTCAGAGACACTCGGTGGTGCCAGCGGGGGAAGTCAAGAGTGACCCAGCTTCCATGGGCTGGGTGTTTCCTCTGCGACAAGCACCAAGGAAAGTGTCTTACAAGTCTTTGTACAGTTAGTCCTTTCAGTGATCCCATGAAGGAGATAGCATTATCTTCATTTTACAGGTGAGCAAACAGAGGCTCAGAGAGGCTAAGACATTTCTATGAGGTCACACAGGTAGAAAATGGTAGAATCTTGAGCCCAGATTGATGCTCCCAACCATCAGAGCACTCTGCTTCCCCACCCAGTGAAGAAGTCGGGAGAGGGCTGGGTGCCGTGGCGTGATCCCAGCACTTTGGGAGGCCGAGGTGGGCGGATCACGAGGTCAAGAGATCGAGTCCATCCTGGCCAAGATGGTGAAACCCCCTCTCTCCTAAAAATACAAAAATTAGCTGGGCGTGGTGATACACGCCGGTAATCCCAGCTCCTTGGGAGGTTGAGGCCGGAATATTGCTTGAATCCGGAAGGCGGAGGTTGCAGTGAGCTGAGATCACGCCATTGCACTCCATCCTGGGCAACGGAGTGAGACTCCATCTCAAAAATAAAGAAAGAAAGAAAGTTGGGAGAGAGGGAACGGCTGAAGGGGACAGACGATAAGGCCACCCACCTCCCCCTTTTCAGTGCCCTGACTAGTTACTGCTCTGGGGACCCTCTCTTGACTGTCCCATAAACTAGGAAGTCAAGCAGCAGGGAGAGAACGCTGTGGAAACAGGAGGCGGCTCACAACGCGCCCACACTTGTTCTAACTGAGGTCAGTGCTCGCTGTGGTCTTGTCTCTAGTCCAGTGGGGCATTGATAAACTCAGGCAGAAACCCACTCAGAGGTGACTTGCCAGCTCCCAAGAGTTCGGGAGGGGGAGAGGTAGGTGCTGTGGAAGGGACAGCTAGGCAGTAGCTGCAGAAGGATTCTTTGCAGCAAGAGGTCCCAGCCTGGAGTTCCTGA